GATAAGTCAATAGTGCCGTTCCTGTTTCCCATTTCCCGAAACACACTGGATCTTTGTGCGGCGGAGGCGGAAAAAATATTAATCTAATTAGACTCCCTCCCTAAAATTCCTCGTCACCTTAATTRCGCTTCAGAAAAGAAGGCTTGGTTCATTTTCCTAGAAAATCAGCTCGTCAGGAGACGCTTTCAACTCCTTAACAAGACCGATCTGTGCTTGGTGACGCGTCCTCAAACCCTCGCCGGGAGCTGCCGGGAGCCAGAGATCCCGAGTTCCCACCGGGATGACGACCTTGCCCGTCACGGGTRCGGTCTCCTCCAGCCTCCAAAAAGCCATCAAACTTTACAGGGCTCCGCTTCTGAACTCTACCCTCCAGCACACAGTTTTACACCCAGAGAATAAACACGGGTGCTTTTGCGCTGCCACCGCAGGAGGATGACAAAGGACAAAGTCCTGAGATGCTGGGGACGTTCGTGAGYTGTGGAGCGGCTGTGGTGGGGGGGAAAATACACAGCGGAAAGGCTGACTTTGATCACAGGAGTCCTAACGAGAGAGGGCAGCAGGAGAGATGTGCCTCTGTTCCTCGTCTGTGGCAGGGATTACTAACGGAAGGGCTGGATTTKAGTGCATCTCAATCACAAGACTGGGCTGCGCACAGGAAACTTTGAACAGCCACAGGGAAAGACGGCTTGGCTGCCCGGCCATCAATCGCTCGGCTTAGAAAAATGCAGATTTAATATTAATAATAAAAATAATTAATAAAAAGAAAAAATCTAGGTTGAATAGTTACTTATTCGACCCGCCGGGGAATCGCAGCCGGCGCTACTACAAACAGGGTTGGGTTTGTTTTGCCTTTGCCAAGAAAAATAAATAAATAAATAAATATATATACAGAGAAAGAAAAATATAAGGAAGCGGCACGGCGAGGCGGGCAGGGAGCGGCGCTGGCAGCTCGCATCCCCCGGAGCATCCCCCCCGGAGCGGGGAGCGCTGCCAGCCCGTGTCCCGGCGGAGCATCACCCC